AGTCACCCGCAAGTTGTCTATCGTGTGAGTGAGTGAATGTTCTTTTAACGTCGCAGTCAACAGAAATCCAGCGGTATCCAGGCAGCCTGTACATAACGCTCCAGGCAGTCGGGGTACGACCCGTGAAGATCCGGGGTAGAATAGGTCTTCAGCAACCCATGCTTGCCGTAAAAGGCGACTTTGCTTGTCGTAAGAGGCGACTAACGGGATCGGGTGGTCAGGCTCGCTGACTTGGTTAATGCATGTCATCGTGTCCCAATTGCATGGATCGATGCATATGATGACGATCACTGGATTGTCTGGTCCAGATCGATATTATTTACACACCGCCGTCATATAGCTGGAATATTGCTGAGTGCAGCCTTAAACAACAAACAAATCATATTGGGGATACTATCAGCCAAGGCACGTGGCCTGACCTGACTGGTCCCTTGTCTATCTCGGAGTGTCTTTGTTATATGAGACAGAAATTAGTAAGACTGACATGTAACAGAAATGCTGGGATTTCGTCTTTTGTTTTCAGCAATATTTGTCTCAACGTTATCTTCAGTCAAGCTAGTAAAGCTGGTCTTTAGAGGGATGTGCAAAAAGATGCACCACCTTCGAATTCATTGCCACCTGAGGGTGCGCACACACACATGCACGCGCGCACACACACACATACACACACACACGCACGCGCGCACACACATACATACACACATACACATGCGCGCGCGTGCGCACACACACACACACATGCACGCACACACACATATAGTTTGGTTGTTAAAGTAAAATTAATAATGGTTTACATCACGTGTCTGTGATTTTTGGGATGACTCTTATCACAACGACCTTTCGCGAACTTATAACCGATCAATAACTGACAAGAAGTCGACATTAGCCAATCAGAAAGCAGCTTTCTGAAGTTTTACGGCACGAGTTTCAAGCGGGTGACTTGCATGTCAGTCTGCGCTTGAAAAATATGCTGACTACGTCCTCGATTAAAAATTTGAAAACTGAACAAAAGAACATTCTGGTATGTCTAATGTATGGTCGAGATTGTATGTGCTTCTCACGTAATGTGCAACGTCTCTTCCGTTCAAATGTGTTTGTTTTTTCGAGGTTGCATGATAAGGCGACGCTCTGATTGGTCGGATGGAAGGTCGTTCTGACTTGTCCCGTCATGGAATGTCCTCAGATCTTTGCTTAGCGGTAGCGAGAACTAAGATGTTATTTAATGAGGTTGTTCGAACCGACGACCATATGTTTCTTGCAAGCGTAAGGTATGCAACTCTGCACATCGACATGCGGCGTATTAGACGTGGCCATGAGTTTGACAACGAGTGTGTATGAACGGACATATATTAAAAATTTCGAATGACTCTGCATATATGCACGTAGGAGACATGTAATACTGTGTTTGTAGAATCTCTGTCAAACATTTACACATAACTATTTTCAATAATATATTCAAAGCGTCCATTTCCGCTCAGTGTCTTCAAGAATAATGTTGTAAACTGTCGTTTGATGGTGGCTAAAAATGAAACAAGCAAGAAATGGGGATGTATTTGATGCGGGTATCATAGTTGTGTTTGGGATCTTAGGTTTGAAGAGTTTCGGCGTCTGTTTTTGGCCTGGTATCGTTTTGATAACGTTTGTAATATTTTTGTCAAATTCAACTTTCTAATGTAGTTTCATTGATTGTTTTCAAAAGCAACATGACTTCAAATTATTGAAATAATACAATGAGGGTTGTACGTGACGTTCAATAGATTCAGATATAAGTTTAAGAGATTAAAATAACGTTCACAAGGTTTTAAACTATCGGATGAAAAAGCAAACTAAAGATAATATATAGAATGGTCTATGTCTGAACAATATCATCTTTTGAAATGACAAGGTGTTAGTAAGGATGTTGTGTGCGATTTACTTTACAAAAGAGAAATAAATAGGTCAGGAGCATATCATAATGTCGGCATGAATTCATTTAAATTTCCATCTCACTGAGGGGAAGGTGTTACCTGACTTGTCATCTGACGGCGGCGTCTTCATCTTTATTCATTGTGTAACCAGGTGTGTAAGATAAATACCACACAGTTGCTGAATAACAACGACATGAAATCACACACAACTTTGGAATTGTTCACATTCATGTCTCTCCAAAAAACATACACCGTGGCAACATGACAAAGATTTACAATGTTTACAATGATTTACATATACTCGTAAGGGACCGACCATTTGATATTGTGGGGGACCTGGGGATTTGTAAGGCTGTGATATATTTTTTAAGCTACAGCTGCAACGACTAATATATGTTTTATTAAATCCATAAGTCTGAATAGTTTGGGTTTTTTTAAAATCCTTGCAACAATGGGATTGTTGTGCAGACAACTTCTTTTTTTAAACATAACAATCTGACTCAATTTACTTTCTTTCGATAAAATCCCAAGATAACTTTATACAAAAACATTTCTACATGTACCTTAAGCCATGGAATGAAATGTTAACATCAACATTGTGCTACATCATATACACATAAGCATTACTTAAGCACCATCCACTTTTTAGGTCATGTGCTGCATTAAAAAATGCCTGATGTGATTGTTTGTTGGAAAACTGACAAACAGCACACCTGCCACTACCTTCACACAAATAATAAACTGCCACTAGCAATCGCTACCGATTGATTGGCGTTAAGCAACAACGCTGAAACGTATCAGCACCCAGGCCACACCACGAATCGGAGTGTCATATTATGCAGTGAAAACGATTATTGTCAACCTCGGAATCACCGCTGACTCTGCTATCTACGGTGGCCCATAAGGGACATGGAGTCTGTTTTTCAATATTTTGATGTTAACTTACTTTTATCTTAACCTTTTGCAAATTAACACAATCTGCCATACAAATATGTGATAAATCATGTATAAAAACATCCGAAAACATAGAAAATGTACTTTTAAGTAGCTTTTGAGCCGCTGAAATGTGAAGTGAAAATGTCAAAAACTAAAATGGAAATGTAAAAAACCAAAACGAAAAGGTCAAAAACTAAAATGAAAATGTCAAAAACACAAAACGAAAATGTCCAAAACTAAAATGAATACACAGAAAACTATTTCCACCGCGGTGTAAATAGTTTTCACCTCGGTGTAAATATTATCACCGCGGTGTAAATATTATCATCGCGGTGGGAATATTATCACCGCGGTGGAAATAGTTTTCTGTATTTTCATTTTAGTTTTTGACATTTTCGTTTCGTTTTTCAGCGATTCAATATCTTCTTTACACATGATTTATCACATATTTGTAAGACAAATCGTGTTAATTTGCAAAAGGTTACGATAAATGTAAGTGAAATATCAAAATATGGAAAAACAGACTCCATGTCCCTTATGGGCCACCGTAGCTATCAGTATCTGGAGTGTCCGCCCTTCCCACGGATGACATTCGCGAGGCGTCTCCTCATGCGGCCGATCTGACGCCTGATTTTCAACATTGGTATCCTCTGTCATTCCTGGTGCAGTTTTTGATCTCTGGTTCTCACTTGGCGGCAGTACATTTATGCAACATGCTGTTGACTAGTTAGAATTCCATTGTTTGTCAAAACGTTTTCGGAATTTGAATCAGGTGGTGCTTACCCAAACCACGTCACCGTTAGAGATGACGATATCTAGTGCCTTTATACGTAGTTTTCACACCTTTTCGAGAACACCAGGGCCCACTTGCACAAAGCGATCTTAGCGCTAAGACTATCGTAAGCCTATGTTAAAGTATGGGGGTTAAGATCATCTTAGCGCTAAGACCGCTGGTATCATCACTGATGTGATATTAAGCCAATACCTTTGATCTCGAGGCCAAACATTTGTACACTGAAAACAACATAAATGTATCTTTGTGGCACGGGTGGCCCAATCGATAAGGCGTCGCAAACCAGCAACCTATTAGTGTGGGTTCAAATCCAAATTCAACCCCGTGATGTTTCTAGGTTTGTCAGCACCATACCCGTGCTCGTGGGTTTCAACAAACCGATACACGTCTAAGACCTGCAGTACTTCGGGATTCTCTCCCACATTAAGCTGACACGCCATGATATAACTGGAATACTGTTCAAAGTGGTAAGAAAGTATTGAAGTTATGTTACTGATTTTAATATCCACAGACAACAAAGAACCTTATAATTAACAGCAAGCACAACAGCCATAACAGAAGTCAACTTACTTGCCTGAGAACCAAAAACGATAGCACTTGCCTGATACTGGTGTTATTATCTATACCGAAACGTTGCTAGAAATGTAATTAAGATGGTCATCATACTGTTTTGTCATCAGATTATGTTGCTGTAATATGTTTCAAGAAACATATGTTCCGACTTTGTATCCTCTAATTTGGATTTGGGGGCTGGTTTTCCTCGTCCAGACTTGGTTGTTTGCAGGGCCTCGTCCAAGTTAATTAATTAATAATATAAAATCAGCCACCCTTCTGATAATATACTTTTTATATTCATGTATTTCCAAGATTAACCATTGAACATTTTGAAGTATGCCGACTATTTGGTATCGTATCCTTTGTATGCTGGTCCTGTTAAAGGGAGCCATCGACCGATACCTAAAGGCTGGAAGATTAAAAGTAACACGTGACTTAAATACGTCACGATGGAATTCTCTTTTTGCACACGACACTTTCGTTACAACAACCAGGGCACCGTTCCACAAAGCGATCTTAGCGGTAAGATGATCGCAATTCCCATACTTTAACATAGGCTTATGGTTGTCGGTGGAGGTAAGATCGCTTTGTGAAACGGGGCCTTGTTAGGACTCATGTAAAGAAAAGGACAATGACGCTAAAAATAGCACAATGTCAGCATCGTTGTGGATTAACCAGCACCTGGGATGGCAGCTCACTGACTACCTCTAAGTGTCAATACCGGACATCACCACCGTGTTGGAAAACGCTGTTGTGTCTCTTTCAAAATCAAATATAAAAGATTCCATTTTAACAAGGATGCGAAAAACTGAAAACTAAAAGCTGTTTTATTGAAGTTTACGTATCTACAGAATAATGCATATTGTCCACAACGTGACGTCACGTGTCACGTGACCTGTACAGTCTGCAGTTGCAGGGAACTGTTTGATCCAAGAACTAATTATTCTGCGACATGAACCAGTACCAGAAGAAATTCTGCGGGCTGAAGAAATTAGGACGAGGTTGATACCCCCAGGGGTTGTATGGCTGGTATGGCTGGTATGGCTGGTATGGGGGGTATGTCTGAGGTACTGGAGTTTGAGTTGTTGCTGAAAATATAACAACAAATACTCAGTAATGTGTCCACAACATATAGATTATTACATGAAGTCAATGAATCGGGTGTTTAGGTGATTGCGTTCCATGGCAACAACGACGGCGTGGAGCGTTGCTCATGCTATCAATCACTGGTTTGTCTGGTCCAGACTCCATTCTTTAGCAGGAATATTGCTGAGTGCGGAGTTTACAACAAACAAACGTGTTTCAATAAAAGTTAAAATAACTCCATGTCGAGTATCATCGCTTTTACTAAGTGCAACATCAGACGAGTTTGTCACGTGAGATTTATGTCGAGCCAGACGGGTTAGGCTTTTTTATAATTTCTTATTTTGGTATGAGTATTTGTCATCCAAAACTGGCTCCCACAGGAGATATCGCTTGGGTGAGATCAAGCGATATCTATACTGTAGATATCGCTGCAATGAAATTGCATCACAATGCTTTGCAGACCATTGTGACGTCATTGGTTACCATGACATCACAATCAAATGACATCACTAATGGCTCTGCTACTAAAGCTGTTAGCAGTACTTTTTACACTTAAGACACTGCTTATTACTTTCTACAAACTGAAAAAGTTGGAAGAATGATGTTGGATGATAAATAAAATCTCACCCTCGTGTCTTTTGATATCAAATATATCAACACTCGTTGATAAAAGTGGAAAAAAATCCTCGGCAAGCCTCGGAATTTTCCCACTTTTATCAACTCGTGTTGATATATTTGATATCAAAAGACACTCGGGTGAGATATATTAAGCGACTTAATGGTAACATGCGCATATATATATATATATATATATATATATATATATATATATATATATATATATTTATGCATTATTGGGGATAACGATAGACGCCAAAGTTTAGTGACGACAACGGTTCTAACAAAATGCATAATTGTCTGGAATGGAGCCTCAGTGTTACGATTCTGCTACCCCAGCTAGAAATAAAAAAAGTGAAACCACCTCATCGGTTGCAAATTAAGATTTCGTGTGTGACAATATACTGTCCACAAGACTGTATAACAAGAGGAATGACTTCAACTTCCCAACAGTGAACTTTCTCCTGTTGTTGTTTGATCTGGGTTACAACATCCAAGGCCTCAGGAAAGCTTCCATAAAGTATGGCAGACATGTAGAGGGCAGTTTCTAAGTTGACGTATCATGATCATTGACAAAACGTATGTTCGATACCATTTTGACTATATATTGACTTTTTTTACTATATAATCTCGTGTAAGTTGAGGTGAACAATTGCCTTGCCTTTGCATGAGTTTGTGACGGGTGCAACTGGTGGGAGAGGATACACTCACGTTTTCACGAATACCTTATATCATTGCTATTCAAAGGTGATGCATAAACACATGCTAATGATTTAGTCGGAATCGAACAATCGACTCGAGATTTCTTCTGATAATGAAAAGGGTCTATCGCTTATATTAACACCGTCACCTCAGACTTAATGGTTTTTGTTTGTTTCTTTGTTTGTTTGTTGCTTAACGCCGCACTCAGCAATATTCCAGCTATATGACGGCGGTCTGTAAATACTCGAGTCTGGACCAGACAATCCAGTGATTGACAACATGAGCATCGAACCATGCAATTGGGATACGATCACATGCATCAACCAAGTCAGCGAGCCTGACCACACGAGCCCGTTAGTCGCCTCCTACGACAAGCACAGTCGCCTTTAACGGCAAGCATGTGTTGTTGAAGACCTATTCTACCCTGGATCTTCACGGGTCTCACAGACTGAAAGCTCACTGACCTGTCTGTGCATTCAGTGTCACAATGACACACACGAGCAGAAGAAACACGAGCTTCATCGTGATGCGGTATCCTGCAAACAGAGAAATACTGATTATCTGACCATTCACTGGCAACTTAGATTGTATTCTCCCCAGGGAGCGGAGAATGAAAGAGTCCACACATCCATTGACCAGGGTAATAATGAGCAACCACTATAAGTGGAATTTAGTGCATTATAAATGGACTTTATTATTATCTTCATCATTAACAAGGAACGAAGGGGAGGCGAAGTCGCCAAACGCTTTAACGTTGCTTTCGTCACGTAGAATACCCGGATGTGACTCCCCTCATAGGTACAACGTATGCAGTCCATTCATGATCATGCTGGAACATTGTTTAAAGCGGCGTAAAACAATTGTTACTTACAAACTTTAATTTACATACTTGTTTGGCCATGATAAATAATTGTGTGACTTTAGAGGATATTTGTACTACAGTAACCTACGGTCATAACGAACTCAAAGGGACCACTAATTTTAGTTCGTTGTAGCCGTAGTTCGTAATATGCATATATACAGCATAACTACAGCAAATAGTCGGGACAAAAAAGTAAGTTCGTTATATCCTTCAGTTCGTTATAAGCGTGTTCGTTATAAACGTAGTTTACTGTATTGGTATTTGTCTTGTCAGCCCTTATTAATTTAGTTCGCTATTTCTTAATTCAATCGGGTCACGTGTGGTCCAATCGTCGAAGGCGCTGTTCAAAGTTGTTTCCCTTGGGCACACCAGAAACCTATGATTGTGGCTTCAAATCCCGGTTCGCCCCGATTATGTTTCTAGGTTTGTCAGCACCATACCCGTGCTCGTGGGTTTCACCGAAGTGGTAAACGTCTGAGACCTGCATCACTTCGGGCTTTCCTCCCACATTAAGTTGACACGCCGAGATATAACGGGAACACTGTTCAAAGCAACGTTAACCCAACTGACGCACTCACGAAATCACGCACTCGCGCACTCACGCACTCACGCACTCACTCACTTACTTTTTATTCCGCCCCATGAAAACTTAACATTACCTTGTAAAACATATCGACATAACCAGACTCCCAAAAGATAAAGCACCTTGAACGTAATTGTGAGTTATAAAGATTCAGCGAACGGAAATTAAGGCCGCTTTCAGCAATATTCCAGCATACCCGTTGGGCATCGAACCCGGGGATTCAACATAATGACCGAACGCTGTAACCACTGGGCCACTTGGCTAAACGACGCCACGGATGGTCATGTCATATATAATGTGGCTTATTCTACTGTGTTTTTTTCAGCATTAGGGGCGGTGCGATAGTTCTACTAGTTAAAGCTCGAAGATCTGGGTTCGATCCGCAAACGGCCGGTATGAAGCGGACTCACTCACTCACTCACTCACTCATTCACTCACTCACTCACTCACTCACTCACTCACTCACTCATTCACTCACTCACTCACTCACTCACTCACTCTATGTACGTTATTCCATCTTCAAAAGATACAATCAGTATACATAAAACATATCGCCCAGTACGATAAATACTAGTAAATCATTTTGGATGGAGCTCTATCACCCATAACGTTCGTGAGTGAGAGCCTCAGTTACCAATATGTATATCACGACTGCCTGAACATAATTGAATCTTGATGGTGATCTCACTCACTCACTCACTCAATCGTGAGTAATTTGATAACACTTCTGCAACGGAGACCCTGCCTGAATACAGTAAACTACGTTTATAACGAACACGCTTATAACGAACTGACGGATATGACGAACTTATTTTTCTGGTCAGGTCATTTGCTGTATATATGCCGTACATATGCTTATAATGAACAAAGGTAAAACGTAGTGGCCCATTTGACTTGTTATAACCGTAGTTTACTGTAAATAGATTTGTTATAGAATTGAATTGTTATAGGATAAAGGGAGAATTCAACAGTATATCCGCGCTGTATCAATTTCGAAAAAGCTTGAAGAAATCACAAATATACGTTATGTGTTAACATCATCACTGACCTGTGAAGATGCCGGGGTAGAATCGGTCTTCAGCAACCCATGCTTGTCGTAAAAGGCGACTAACGGGATCGGGTGGTCAGGCTCGCTGACTTGGTTGATGCATGTCATCGATCCCAATTGCGTGGATTGATGCGCATGATGTCAATCTCTGGATTGTTTGGTCTAGACTTGAGTATTTACAGACCGCCGTCATATAGCTTGAATATTGCTGAGTGCGGCGTTAAACAACAAACAAACAAACAAATGACATCATCACTTAAGAAGGTAATGTGTCTTATGAGAAGGATGGAGCTACACACTTACCCTTTTCCAGCCAGCGTTGCTTACAGCTGACGAAGGTTCCATGTGTTTATATACCGGTGTATGTAGGCGTTGTTTCGGGATTCACTATAAATATTAGGAATCCTTTACAGTGATTTATGCTGTAGCGGGTATTGCAGGTGACGGTTATCTATTTTATAAAATGTCATCTTTCACGAGAACAACATTTTTGCTTTCCATGCAAATACCCAACGGCTATCAAGGTTAAGAAAAACACGGTGTGTGCTCTATTTATTTGTGAATAAACATAAAGTAAACATCACCTGGTCAGGCTTTGAAGTTTGAGAGAAGGACATCCTTGTTGGTTTAGCGACCAGCAGATTCCGAGAAGTGCCAGGACATTAAAAGTGGGTTTATCGAGTTTTTTCATGTAATTGAAAATTGAAAGTATTGTTGTTTAATTTGATTACTAGTATGTCCACTTAACCATTGCTCATTTCTGCAAAAGTCATCTGTGCCTGTAATTTTGTGTGATTGTCTCCGTGTCCCTCGTGATATATGCAATACAAAATCACGGATATCTTAAATACGATATTCACATTTTCGGTTTGGAGGAAATCATACAACTTTTCACCGAGATTTCTAAATATTGTTGCATGTAGTTATTTCTTAGACTTGCATACACTGACTTATACCCCGGCTCATAATTATTGTCCCCCCCAAGATATGTGCGTCTTAGTCTAGGAGTGACCATAAGCATGGGTATATTAAGTGTACGTGATCTTCATCTTCATTTAGGTGGTTACAGTATGGACAAGAAGTATTTTCTAGTGCCGGATGCTTTTGAAAATCTAGCTTCTATCATGTCAGATTTATTTACATTGGATCTAATTGCATGCGTTGATTTAATGGACAAAAGATAAGTCCCTGTGCAATAGAACATTTGAATTCTGAATATTATTTTACACATGTTGACTCTCGTACACTCATAAACCATTCTTGATGATGATATATATATAAATATATATCAGAAACGCTTCTGTTTGATATTGAGATCTACGCTTTCAGATTCAGAGTGACAAAAAGTGCATCAAAAGGGATGACTTCCCAATAGTCAATATTCCAGCAGATCAAGCCTTTGGTGTCACATACCCACCTTTGGGGTACAATGGATCATGCTCTACTACGGAGATTTCAATGAGGATCATACGACTCTTGCTTAAAAAATATTTTATCAAGGTTACCGCATTCAAGGCCTCAGTAAAACATTCAACATATTTTATGCTAGACATGTAGAGGACATTTGTAAATTGTACGCATCGGTGACAAAAGTGGTGCACGATGCGTGACAAAAGTGATGCACGATGCGTGACAAAAGTGGTGCACGATGCGTGACAAAAGTGGTGCACGATGCGTGACAAAAGTGATGTACGATGCGTGACAAAAGTGATGCACGATGCGTGACAAAAGTGATGCACGATGCGTGACAAACGTGATGCACGATGCGTGACAAAAGTGATGCACGATGCGTGACAAAAGTGGTGCACGATGCGTGACAAAAATGGTGCACGATGCGTGACAAAAGTGGTGCACGATGCGTGACAAAAGTGGAGCACGATGCGTGACAAAAGTGATGCACGATGCGTGACAAAAATGGTGCACGATGCGTGACAAAAGTGATGCACGATGTCACACCCAATTTTTAAAACTGGGGCGACGTCATGGTTACCAGTGACGTCACAATGGTCTTCAAAGCTTTGTGATGTAATTTCATTGCAGCGATATCTACAGTGTAGATATCGCTTGATCTCATCCAAGCGATATCTCCTGTGGGAGCCAGTTTGGGATGATAAATCAACCTTTATGTCCTTTGAAGTAATCTAATGGTAATATTGCCGTGGTCTTTTAGCAGGAATGTATACAAATGATTTAACAGGGCCTTTGTAGATACATAGAGTAACACTTCAGTAAACGTTAGGTGGTTTGAAATTCAAATTTCATATAATAATCATGAGCTACTTATTTTAATTCATAAACAGTATATGAACTATGTTAGAATCAGGTGTCCAGATGCTCCACGGATTGAAATATGTGAGCGTAGTGTTAGGGCTTGGATGGGACTGTGTACATGTCATTCCAAATCTCATGATTAGTTTTCTACAGTATTTACATTGATATGAACTGGCTGGACACACATAACCATCCTTGTAGACTGACAGACACCATGATGTACCATGATGGTATCTTGTCCGTAATGGACAGCTAACATGTGGGTGGTGGTGACATGAAGGATTTCTCCGGGGGGGGGGGGGGGGGGGGGGGGGGGGGGGGGCGGAGGCCTTTGGCCACTCACTGTCAAAAGTTGGGTCAGAATTTACTTTAAAACTGGGGCGACTGAAGCGGAGAGCGTAGCTTGGGCTCCTATGGTTAATGCTGCTATACTAATTCAGGTAAGTGACCTAAAAGAAACTACATTCATGGAAAATCAATCTTATATCCGAAAAAGTATTTATTCACATATACAAGTGTAATACTCTTACTCCATGATCTTGTATCTTTTCCTTCAAAAATTTAAATGTTTTATTTAAAAAACATAACGACAAAGAATAATATTTTGAAAAATCATGTTTCAGCAGTTGGTGTTTTTATGACTGTTTAGTGTTAATATTCGTATTTGCAATTTAAGAGTAATCCATACGCACTTTTGTAAACTGCATTAGTACATGGTAGTTAAAGAAAGTATACACTGGAAAAATGGATTTGACCAAAGAAATACAAACGCTTTAAAAACGTTACTAGGATGAAAACAGTCGCCGAAATACTGCAAACCTAAGGTCTAAAACGCATCTATGATGCCCATATCAAATACATCACCATCGAATAACCATTCCTGGTGTGTTTCATTTGTCGCCACCATCAAACATGGCGTATACTTCGGCTCGGTAGTATTTCCTTTGTAATACAGTAAACTACGGTTATAACGAACACGCTTATAACGAACTGACTGATATAACGAACTAACTTTTTAGTCCCGACTATTTGCTGTAGTTATGCTGTATATATGCTTATAACGAACCACGGTTATAACGAACTAAAAATAGTAATCCCTTTGAGTTCGTTAAAACCGTAGTTTCTGTAGTTGTGTTGACCTAACTATTTCAGTACCTGCCATTGCATGCAATCATGTTGCTGAAGAAGGCTGGAGCTGTGTTCCTTCTCCTGGTGATGTGCCCACAGGGTAAGCCGTTGTATCAGTGAATTCTCCATATATTTGAAGAGGCGAGTGAGTGAATGCTATTTTTTGCCGCAATTAGCAATATTACAGCTATGTCCATCGTGCGTGTAAACAATTGAGTCTTGACAAACTGAACTAAAGAACGTGCATCGGTACACGTGGCCGTGATATCATGACAAATCAGCGTCGTAGAGCCTGTGACCCAATCAAATTTTAAACGGTTCCTACTTGCATGAACCAGAGAGACGTGTGACCATTGCTTATGATAGTGATCACTGGATTGTCTGGTCTGATGACTGTTCACATGCCGCCGTAATATAGCAAGTATATTGCTGGGTGCAGAATACTGACTCCGAGCCGACCAGTCCTTGTTTTAGCCCCTTAATGCCGATCGCCAGACAGGGTAACAACAAGTACCATCTTTTAACGTCTTTTGGTATGACGCGGCCGGGGATCGAACACCGGACCTTCCGCTCTCCGGGCGGACGCTCTACCACTAGACCACGGAGGCGGTCCAAATTGTGCGAGGGGCGGTTGCTACCGGGTGAGGAGGGCAGACAGACCCTTTCCGTGAACCTGGAGTCATTACTCATGTTCAGTTATCCTTTCATATAATTATTTTCAAAGGTGTTAGCGTAGTCTAGTGGGTAAAGCGTTGGCTCGTCACGCCGAAGACCGGGCTCGATTCCCCACATGAGTACAATGTGGAAACCTATTTTCCGGTGTCCCCCTCCGTGATATTGTCATCACTGTTCTGCGTTTTACGCCCTATGGAATCTGTTTCAACAGATACTCGAGACTATTATTTTCCGGCTTTGACATTTTCAATTTATCACATGTAACAGGCACTTAAGTGCCCAAGGTCATTGCTTTTATCATGTAAGATTCCGATTTCATGCTAGTCACAGCATTGTCGGTGACCCCATGATGTGTAAACAGCAAGGGTTTGTTGGTTGGTTGGTTAGTTTGTTGTTTAACGCCGCACTCAGCAATATTCCAGCTATATGACGGCGGTTTGTAAATAATCGAGTCTGGACCAAACAGCAATGGTTGGTTGGTTGGTTTGTTGTTTAACGCCGCACTCAGCAATATTCCAGCTATATGACGGCGGTTTGTAAATAATCGAGTCTGGACCAAACAGCAATGGTTGGTTGGTTGGTTTGTTGTTTAACGCCGCACTCAGCAATATTCCAGCTATATGACGGCGGTTTGTAAATAATCGAGTCTGGACCAAACAGCAATGGTTGGTTGGTTGGTTTGTTGTTTAACGCCGCACTCAGCAATATTCCAGCTATATGACGGCGGTTTGTAAATAATCAAGTCTGGACCAAACAGCAAGGGTTGGTTGGTTGGTTTGTTGTTTAACGCCGCACTCAGCAATATTCCAGCTATATGACGGCGGTCTGTAAATAATCGAGGCTGGACCAAACAGCAAGGGAGCGTCAAAGGATATACTAGTATTGGCTTGACATGAAGGAAATATTGCATGCATTTTCCTTTCCGTATCTTTGTACAGATATTCCTGAAAAAGGTTTACTCTTTGAGTGTACCAATGGCGTTTATCTCACTCAATAATTGCTGACTTCTTTAACTCAAAGAACTGTTGAACATGCTACAAGATAGTGTATGGCGTCTTTAAGTAACCACTGATAGGCCTATCATCTTTGGGAAGAACAGCTTGGTGTCTTGAAGTTTTAGCTGTACTGTAAATGAAGACTTATGGACTTAATTTTCTTGCTGTCAGCACCATACTGATGCTCATGGGTTTCACCAAAGTGGTAAATGTCTGAGACCTGCACCACTTCGGGCTTTCCTCCCACATTAAGCTGACACGCCGTGATATGACTGGAATACTTTATACAACGGAGATACATCCAAGTCACTCAGTCACTAATCTTCTAATTCTTTAAAGGGGCGGTCGGGTAGCCTAGTGGTTAAAGCGTTCGCTCGTCACGCCGAAGACCCGGGTTCGATTCCCGACATAAGTACATTGTGTGAAGCCCATTTCTGATGTCCCCGCCGTGATATTGCTGGAATATTGCTAAAATCGGCGTAAAACCATACTCACTCACTCACTCACTCACTCACTCACTAATTCTTTAAAAGAAACGTTTCGGTACAGAGGCTGTTACCGTTATACAGCAAGTGATGATGTTGATGTTCTTGTATGTCCAAAAACACATCCTACCATCGTTACGTGGTTATAAGATATTCACACAGAAAACCAATGTGACCGCTTTTACAAATATACTACTTAAAAGATGTTAAGGGCCACCGATTATTTGTATAGTTAATCTATATTTCTATTGTTTCTATAGTTAATCTGTCATGCAATAAACTATAAAAAGTAGCATACAGTAAACTACGGTTATAACGAACACAAAGGGACTGCTAGTTTTAGTTCGTTATAATCGTAGTTCGTTGTAAGCATATATACAGAAAATATATTCAAATGCCAAGGGCCAAAAAATAAGTTTGTGATAGCCGTCAGTTCGTTATAAGCCTGTGTTTTTATAAACGTAATTTACTGTATTTGTAACTGATCAAGATTATGTTATAATATATAGCTTGCCTGGTTACAAAACCATGTTTTGGTCTTGAATAGTTAGCGGGTATTTCAGTTATATTAGGGCGTAGCAGTTTAATGAAGGAGTAAAGTCCGAGGTGATGCAGGCTTTAGATGCCTTCGAGTTTTGTAAAACCCACGAGCATAGGAGAGTGATTATAAATCTTGAAACATAATTAATATTGGGACGTATCTGGGATCCAAACCCGGTACGCATAAGGGACGCAACTCTGAACAGCGAATTGCGGCACCTTACTCTACTGGGCCCCGTTCCACAAAGCGATCGCAGCGCTACGACAGTCGTAAGTCTATGTTAACGTATGGGAGTTACGGTCACTTTAGCGCTATGACCGGTTTGTGGAACGCACCCTGGACAACCTGTACCCCGGGCAAGATGATTTTGTTTCTTCAGCACATCACATTGTACCAGTATTCTTACTTACGCTCACTGGCATTTATTTCATTCTTCTGTTTAGTTTCGACCCAGGTTCCTTCAGAAGCAAATCAAGCTGTTCCACCAATCTACGCAAGCGTACCAACACAAAACAATCCAAGCGTAACAACACAAAACAATCCAAGCGTACTACCACAAACCAATCCAAGCGTACTACCACAAACCAATCCAAGCATCCTACCACAAACTTATCCAAGCATCCTACCACAAACCAATCCAAATCTACCACCACCAGCTTCGAGCAGGATAAGAACAGTCCCTCTTCAAGTCAATCCATATTTCATTCCGTACCTCCAAGGTTCTGCAAACAGGATTAGTTTGCCTCCCCAAGCTTCTAGGTTCTGGAACTTTGGCAGACCTACACCACATTTGAACTACAGGAACCAAAACAGGAGGCTGTTTTCAAATCCAGCTTTGAGTTTCTTCGCCATGAACGAATTGTTTGATTTCTTGTAATATATTGAAGAATATGCTTAATTTGTAAACTTATTTTAGTGACGACAACATGTTTAATCTTATCGAATATACCTCATAATCTCATGTATGGTTACCTAAAATATTTCGATCAATACAACCTATGCATGTAGAATAATGTCTATATTGGTTGAAATAAAATGTAATTGAAAAACGTCTAATAGCGTTGTGTAACTTTTTGTTTATGTTGTCGTTGGCAACAGTCAATGAAGTCGTCATTCAGAAACGCCAACAAAAGATGAAGTTTTTATTTCTTCGAACACGATCGGGTTCGAATCCTTGATTTGCCTTGATATTATGTCTAAGTTTGTCATCGGTGTTGGAATAGTTTAATCTGTGAGGTGAGATGGACTTAACGTCAGGTTGCACTTATATAGTGACGTGCATGCTCGTGTGTGTGGCTCCATGTACTTGTCCGGACTAATGCCGAGTTTAAAGGTCAAGCCTACTGAGATACCATGCCACAGTTTAACATAAACACCCCACTCAGACACGGTATACCGACTTCGAGCCGACCTGTCCTTGTTTTAGACCCTTAATGCCGAGCGCCAGGCAGTTTAACAACAAGTACCATCTTTTAATGTCTTTTGTTATGACGTGGCCGGGGAATTATAACATGCATCAACCATTCTAATTTAACGATGACCTTGACCTTTGAAAGGCCTATAACTGAGATTTGACTTACAGTTGTATACCTTCAGATTTCCTTAGAATCTGACATGATATAAAACGGGTTTGCAAAAAACCTAAAGGGTGACTTTTGCTTCAGGTAAGAAACACATTTTATTTCTGCAATTTGTTTTTCTTTTGTGTCCGGTGGAGTCTGTTTCGGACTGTTTGTTCTCTGACGTTGGCATTTTCTATATGTTTGACCTGCTCAGAACAGGGACAGATCAAAGTAGTTGAGTGAATGTTGTGTTACGCGGCGGTCAGCAATGTCTGCCATATTTCATCTTCATCATGGCGGCCTACACATAATCAAGCCTTATGTTTGTTTGTTTTTTTATTAACGCCGCACTCAGCAATATTCCAGCTACATATAACGACAGTCTGTAAATAATCGAGTCTTGACCAGACAATCCAGTGACTGACAACATGAGCATCGATCCACGCAATTGGGATACGATGACATGCATCAACCAAGTTAGCGAGCCTGACCACCCGATCCCGTTAGTCGCCTCTTACGACAAGCATAATCGTCATTTACAGCAAGAATGGGATTCTGAAGACCTATTCCAACCCGGATCTTCGCGGATACTGATAAAATGGTAAATTCATTTGAAAATGTCTGTCGACACCCACTTGACACATGTTTTGCAAATCCTGCAGTCGACAAAAATCTACGTTGTTTTCGAACCGGATGCCTAGTTCTCGATTTTGATTGGACTATGCTTAGACTCCTAAGTCAAGCCAAAATGTAACTCTGGAATTCCAGCCAAGGTCGGCAAGGGTGAGAACTGGACTTTAAGAGTCAGTTAACGCCCTTGACTCGGTAAGATGTTATTACCTGACACCGCACAGCAGTACGTTATATGTTTCATATGACTATAGTTAATCTGTCATGGCCATGCCAGATTCACAAAGGTCATCTGAGAAAATGGGTGTTCTTCAACTTCTTTTGAGTAGTTTATATACAAGGAAATTGTCCGAGTGCGTGACCTGGCTATCAACAGTTATGTCATGGAAGAAATGTACACTTTTGCTCAATTGTAAATTCTTACTTGGCTAAACAATTGTTGTAATAGCGACGTTGAAAATGCAAAAGCAATTGTTGTATGACATTTACACGCATTCACATACATTTACATACACTTATGTCTAAAGATCACACATTTACATAAATCTGCGCATAAACTGACAATCCTGCAAATCATTTTTTTTTTTCAGTGTAAATGGAGAGAAAGCACAAGTAACCCACGTCACAGACATTTCCCAGTTTGGTTAAATATATATTATTATGTACTGTGCTAAGTGGAGCGATTCTGGATTCGAACCCACTCAGATAATCCTGGCACGTGTAAGGGACATAACTCCTCACATCATGATGAGGCACTTAGACCACAAGGTCAAACGTGCCTGGAGGTTGCCAGCCATTATTTCCTTTGTGTAGGTCATATTACGTAAATATTGAGTGAGTGAGCGAGGTTTTACGCCACTTTCAGCAATATTCCATCAATATCACGATGGAGAACACCAGAAATTAGCTTTACACATTGTACCCATGTGGGCCATAGAACCCAGGTCTTTGGCGTCGCGAGTGAACGTTGGCTTCCCCACCGCCTATATTTCCATGGACCGTTTTCAGTTGTCCCAGAGGTTTTGAGCAATATCTCTTTCACATTTAATGTAGATCAAGATGTTATACATATTTATCATATAATGGGTAGGTTTCTCGGCAGGATAAAGCCAACGGATAAAAACGATATCCGTTGGGGTCATATGCGGATAGAGATGCAAATATCAAAGGTCAAGTAGGACTACTTTCACTGTTTATAAACAAACATAGCCAAGCGGGATCAGTAGCCATATCTGTGCTTGTAGACCTCTGCGGCTTAAAACCTTCTCCACATATTAAAATAGTTGGATTGGGCCGAAATAATTATGTTTGAATTGTTACCTTGTTTCGTTTTGTCGCTGTGTGTACATCTGACTACACTACTTAAGGTAATGACAGGACAGACCGACTGTCAACAACGTCTGACCGTGGCCGTGACGTCTCATAGACTAGGGTTAGAGTAGCCGAGTAGCTTCCCTTTGACAAAGGGCAGTTACTCTAGCGGACAGACCGATGGATTGCTGCGAAAGGCAATTAAAAACAACTGTTGTTTTGCGTATATGTTGCTTCGCCACTGTATAAGAAACAGATTTCAGTTAGAACTATATTGGCTACTGTCACTGTCCGACTGACACATCACTTACCCTGTGACGGAATAAATATTAATGCGCGCATTCCAGGAAAACTCGCAATGTTTCGGTAATGTTTGTGAGAGAGGGAAAGCGATTTTGAAGCACAGAATTAAAGAATGACATTATATGATAAAGAGGTTATCACGCTTGTGTGTTTGGGGATGGTAAATATCCTGTATTAAGAATAAACACTATGTATTTAGCTCGCCAAGGCTCGCTAAATACAATGTTTATTCCTAATGCAGGATATCTACCATCCCCAAACACACTCGCGTGATAACCTCTATGTATTATACACATAGCCGTTCTTGTCAGTGATAAACGTACGTGTCGACTTACAAATCCTTGAAATGTGGAGATCACAGAAGCCGCATACCGATGTGACACCTGTCTTGTCTCCGCAACCCAGGACAACAACAACAAAGAGAACGCCCTGGCCTCGGGCTCTGCTGACAGTGATGGAGAACAATGTACACCCAGGCTGCAGTGTTGCCTAACGCAGTGTCGCATTAATTCCCCGTGCTTGTAGGTAACAATATTACTGCATGATCAAACAAGTCATGAATGTGGAGAGATACCTACTTTGTTTTTTTTCTTTTAATGATAATATTAAATAATAATTAAATATGAATAATAATGATGCTCAGAGCGCTTACATTATTACCCCGGTCAGTGGATCAGTGTGCACTCGATTTTCATTCTCGGCTCCCTGGGGAGTATACAACCCATGCTAAATTTAATTACCTTTATTCCTAACACTTTTTAATAGTCGATTTCGACTGGTTAATCATACAATGAGGACAACAACGTCGGTCATGGCAGGTGAACGTTTATAATGTGTATCGTCTTCTCTTGTATTTATCTCCATGACGCCGAATACTCTTACCCCAGCTAAATTACTTTCTTTCTTTGTCAAATTTAATTTCTATTTAATTTCACCTATCATGTAATTGATATTGTATGTATGTAAGGGAGAAGCCTTTCCGTTAGTCTGCCATCTCGAACCAATCTGATCAAACAAACAAAAAGGTAAATTCACCTGCGAAAATCTCGCAGTCGGAAACATTTTCAAAATTCCCTATGATGGCATTCCCCAAGCATAAATATATAACGTGACTACATTTGGGGGTTGAGGGCAAATTTCAGGATTTTTGTAATGGCCATTTCCACACTGATGGCAGCAATTTTACAGAGAGTGTGACGAAGGTGTCACGCGCTGGGAAGGATCGTGGCACTCCAAGGGACACAACTCTGCATAGCGGGGAGAGGCGTTGGTATTCCGACATTATGTTCCACCAAGTTTAAGCTGTATACATATACATGTAGACATCCGCTATAGTGTATGGTTCGTTCAGATAAATTCAGTAAAACAAGAAACTTTATTCAGAATGTCCAGGTTACATATCGTTCCAGGCCAGAGTATACCAGTCGAAGTTTGTAAACATCACACAAAGAACTATTCCATCTGCATTAAAGTTACCTGTAAATAATCTAGTCTTGGCCAAACAAACCCCAAACAATCCACGCCATCAGGCATAATGAACCGCAAACAGTGAAAGTCAATGAGCCTGACCGGTCATCCTTATGCCTTATGACACCGACATGATATCATGGGTACCAATGTTTCCCTACAATCCACACATTGCCATTGGAAATGGTAAAAATGTTCAAACTGTCGAATCTTTTTCAAGAACTGTTCTGTTACGCCATTGCCTCCATAAACTGGTTCATTGATAACATCCCCATCAGCATTGACGTTGATCTGGAATCCAAAGGAATGGGCCTGAATGGTAATAGCGCCTCCATGTTAATCCCCCTGCTGGCGGGGTTAGCACCTACGTTTCCACTTAAAGCCCGAAGGAAATCTAGCAGTCTCCTGGTAGATGCAGGGAACGGATATTGTAGTCCGTTCAGGGATAAAGCTCCATTGATATTTTCAGGTGGTGCCAATGAAAGTCGGGGAAACATAGACTGTATCGGGTTTGGAGATAAGGGTATTCGTGGTCCGTTCACATTTTCAGGTGGTGCCAATGAAAGTTGAGAAAACGGAGACTGTATCGGGTTGGGAGATAAGGGTATTCGTGGTGCTTTCACATTCGAAGGTGGTGCCAATGAAAGTTGAGAAAACGGAGATTGTATCGGGTTGGGAGATAAGGGTATTCGTGGTCCGTTCACATTTGCTGGTGGTGCCAATGAAAGTTGAGAAAACGGAGATTGTATCGGGTTGGGAGATAAGGGTATTCGTGGTCCGTTCACATTTGCTGGTGGTGCCAATGAAAGTTGAGAAAACGGAGATCGTATCGGGTTGGGAGATAAGGGTATTTGTCGTCTGAAGGGTCTTTCAGATGGTGTCACGGAAAGCGAGTGTTGCCTGTTGAGGACAAGATGAAATGGTGGCTTATTGGAGACTTCAGACGGTGTTTTATGTGGTGCCGAATCCTGGCGACTAGGTTCAGGCGACATAAGCATTGGTGGAAGTGGCTTTGTCTGGAAGGTTTCTTGCTGAGCCGTGTGCATGTATTGTGGGTATGGCGAGGTGTTCTGTCTGTCGCCGTCGCTGTTCAGTGGGGGTCTTGCGGATGTTGATGCAGATGGAGACGTCGGGCGAGGAGTTTTATGTCCTGCAAAGTATTTTGAAGAGAGATGACGGTGGAAATTTAATTGTCACAATTGGGGTGAGGTGTGGTGAGGATGGCACAATATCGCAGTTTAACATGGATAGGCCACTCAGACACAGTACACTGACTCCTAGCAGACCAGTCCTTGTTTTAGCCCCTTTACGCCGAGCGCCAGGCAGCGTAACAACAAGTGCCATCTTTTAACGTCTTTTGGTATGACGCGGCCGGGGATCCAACCCTGAACCTTCCGCTCTCCTGGCGGAAGCTTCACATGTACAATTGAAGAATATAAAGCTCGGACTTCAGACTGCCGGCAATCCTTATATAAAGTTGCATGCTGATCTTTTTGTTTCAATGCATATGAAAACATTTATTCATTCATCTTGGATTTTATATATGAGGAAGGAAATGGATAGAAAAGCTTAGATATCAATGTTAAGAAAATAATTTACAAAACGTCATACTTACCTTGGCCTGCAACTGAAACACAGTTAGTGGTGTTCTCGGGATGGTTCGTGTACCCAACGTGACAGTAGCACACTTCTTGTTGACTACGCAGTTTTGCACACTGTCCATTCTCGCAAGTCAGCGTGCACTCGGCTACGGTTAACAAAACCCAAAGCATTAACCATACACAATCTGCGTGAAGCTACATACTCGTAATACGAGGACCTTGTAACAAACAGTTCAGATCAGGTCTTTGGGGGACCGACCATTTGATATTCTGGGGTTGGGGCATGGGATTTTGTATCAAGATAAGATATGTTTTAGCTACAGCTACAAAACGAGAAAGGTTTTCTAATTGAAACTTTGAGTTATTGTTTTAAAGAAAAACACCTTGCAACAATGTATTTTTGTGGCTGTCAATTTCTTCTCTTTTTAACAGCCATAAGCATCATTATATATTTCAAGAATTTTCAGGGACAAAATCGAAAATCCCAGCTCTTTCTTTCCCGTTATATGAGAACATTAGGCCCCTTACCTTACAACCACAGCCTTGTAGGGTTCATTTCATGGTCAGACTAAGATGACCAGACCCTGATTTGCCTGAACTGATTAGTTTGTTGTTTAGGCTATCAATCATCAATCAGTTGTCATGAAAAACTGTTGTAAGAGAGAGAGAGGGTGAGGAAGAGAGGCGGGGGGAGAGGAGGTTGAGCCCTGTCGAACCACCACCAGCATCACAAAAGAACACGTTGATGCCCTCCGCGACCTTGAACTGAACAATGGGAGCATTCCAGAGGAGACCACAGGATTCTCATGTGGGTCGATAAAAACAATCCTTCATGGACTCTACATACGTCAAGAGTGTGTCCCCGATGGTTTCCTAGAATGCTACCGGGTGAATGGTAGGCCATGCCGGTCTCCACTTCAAATGCCCTGTCAACCAGGTATAATCGCAACAAGATTTTCACATGAGGCTAGATCAATTTATCATAAATGGGTCCATTCGACAGTACGAGAGGGGAATAGCTGGAGTTACCCAGAGACTACTACGACTATAGTGAGGATGATTGGGTATTTCAACTCACGAACTAATGATACGGCAGCTGAGTGACACATATGTACAGAGTTGTGTGCCCTTGATACAGGGTCCGCAGCGCCGTGGTATTTATGTTGTAGTTGGGTAACAGGCAACGCTACTAAAGCACTAATTGTCGTACTTACTTGAGGCAGCACATCTACCGTTCACGTTCTTCTCGAAGCCAGGTTTACACTCGCACGCCTGGGTGATCGGGTCACACTGACCATTTCCACACGTATCCGGGTCACAGGGAGCTGCGCGCACAGAACAGTCACGGTCAAGATAAAAGTGAGTGGGCGAGTGAGTTGGGTTTGACGCCGCTCTGAACAGTATTCCACTTATATTACGGCGTGTTAGCTTAATATGGGAAGAAAGCCCGAAGTGATGCAGGTCTCAGACGTATACCACTTTGGTGACACCCACGAGCACGGGTATGGTGCTGACAAACCTAGAAACATAATCGGGGCGAACCGGGACTCGAACCCACAATCATAGGTTTCTGGCGTGCTCAATGAACTTAACTCTGCACAGCGAATAGCGGTGCCGTAGACGTCTGGGCCACCCGTGCCCCACATACAAGATTGAAACTACAATATATCAATTATATTAGCAACGCCTATTGCATTGCCAACAGAAAACTGGTTAACTTTGTGAAATTAAACCTAATGTTTTGCTGAATGTTTTACTCTCCACACCCAGATGATACATATTATTTCAGTGATGGGGGGATGGAGTTCAAGCTGATTTTAATAGTATTCAAGTTATATCGCGGCGTGTCAGCTTGATGTGGGAGGAAAGCCCGAAGTGATACAGGTCTCTGATGTTTGCCACGAACACAGTAATGGTGGTTACAAACCTAGAAACAGAATCAGACCAAACCGAAATTTTAACCATCTATCTTAGGTTATTCAATTCTTTATTTCAGTATAAAGGCCATAGGCCCACGTACAAATACTCATTGAAAAATACAGTATGAGGCAGATGACAGAGGGTATTAAGTGACAGTATTTCGGATTGCAAGTGCTTCCAGTATATACTTAACACAATTAGTTACAATACTAGTGCGGTTACAAGATAATAGAGTATTATATTTAAATAAGGTAGGATTGGAAGAGTAATAAATAGGTAAATACTTATTTCTTAAATATCTGTAACATGGGCAGACAAGCATAAAATGAAACTCATCTTCAATTTCCTGTAAATTACAATATCTGCACTGCCTATTACAGTACTCTATACCGCATCTTCTACCTAAATTTACCATCAATGGCAACTCGCCAATTCTTAACAAACAAAACATACGTCTATAATGACGGCTTGTGATTTCACAGAGATACTTTTCAACTGTTAGCAATGACTTATATTCCTTATACATTGATAATTTACGTATTTCACAAACTTTACAATACCAGTCCTGTTGGTTACAGTCTTTTAACCTTTAAATAAATGCATTAATAAAGAGGTTCTCATTACCAACTTCCTGCGAAATCCACACGTGGCCAAATCCATAACTGAATAATAGTCTTTTGACTCAAGTTACCCATGTAGTGCGATTAACTTCATCTAAAGATTTCAGCATTAAATAACATTGCTTAGGGTATCTATAACTGGGTAAAGATAACAGTTTCAACCAATATTTAATACATCTCTTGTGATAATCAATAAATAAGCCATATCTACCACATTCGCCAAGGGCAGCAACATTTGTAACATGACTTCCAATTCCAATAGTAAATTTACAGAATTTAATCTGAAATTTTTCAATATCTGCAATTTTTGAATAGCCCCATATTTCTGAAGTGTATAATAATACAGGCTTAATTTGAATGTCAAATATTTTAAAAAGTATATGTACGGGTATGTTCTTCAAACAATGCTGTAATTTCTTAACGACGAACAGAGCCTTATTTGCCTTCTGAACAAGAGAGTTGATACCAGTCGTCCAACACAGCCGATTTGAAAATAACAAACCTAGATAATTATAATAGGTAGATACTTTAACATTAACATCTCCAAACCTCCATTTCTCAGTACTCCTAAGTTTTCCACCATTTCTGAAAACTAAAATTTCAGTCTTACTATGGTTAACTTCTAAACCCCATTTAGTACAGAAAGATTTAAGGATATTAAGTTTTCGTTGGAGACCAACTACAGTATCATCAATTATGCACAAATCATCGGCATATAGTAACAACAAAATGTCTAGAGATTCTTGACTCACAAATATTCCCCTCTCGCCGGAGGAGTGCAACATTGATTCTAATTCAACAATAAGCAAAGAGAACAATATAGGGCTAAGGGTGCAGCCTTGGCGTACACCACTTAGCGTTTCAAAGTAGCAAGTTGCTGTGCTATTTGATAACTTTACAGCCGATTTCACTTTTAAATACATATCTTTAATGACATAAAATAACTTTCCATGTATACCCTTATTTAACATGACATACCACAACAATTTTCTATTTACACAATCAAAGGCTTTTCTAAAATCAACAAATAAACAGTAAAATCTGCCATTAGCTTTAGATAAGTATTTCTGTATTAGACTTTGCAACACAAATATATTATCAACGGTGCTGTATCCAGCCCTAAAACCTGCCTGAGACTCTGGTATCTTATCGTAAATGTCACAAAACATAGTAAGCCGTTTATTAAGAATAAAAGTAAATATTTTACCCAATACATCACTAAGTGTAATACCCCTATAATTGTTAACATCAAATTTGCTGCCTTTCTTATGAAGGGGAGTAAGTAAACCTCGAGCCCAATCCTCAGGAAAATTACCACTATGCAAAATAGCGTTATATAATATAACTAGATAAGGAAGAAGATCACCCTTGCAACACTTTATCATTTCTGGTAGAACTCCATCGGGACCAGCCGCCTTACCATCTTTCAAATGATTAATAGCATGTAAAATTTCTGGTTCAGTGATTTCACAATTCAAAATATCATTTAATTCTTCATCATTACAGACAAAACAGTTAGATTCCTCGTGTTCATAAACAAAACTCTCAGCGGAAGCAAGATTATCATGATCAACATCATAATCAGTTATATTCAAAATATTTTTAAAGTAGGTTACTGGTACGTCTAAGGGATGCATCTCTGCACATCGAATTGCCCTGCCGTAGACGAGAGGACAACATGTTTCCCCCAGAAAATACTGGTCATTTTGATGACGCATATAGTGACTGTAATAATATATCGGGTTTTTTTAATTCCCTAGCACAAATACATACAGAAGCGTTCTTTCTGATCATTGAGGCCCTTTAATCGTTTTAGTATACATTGTGAAACATCAGAGAGTTTGACTGCATGGTCGTTCGCTAATATCCACGCTACGACCCATCTTAGTGAACAAAACGAAGAAATGCACATCCAGACTATCGCAGTATCGACTCAATCCGTGTATAGGCTGACAGTGACAGTCTACTGCAATCTATGAATTTACCTTTGTGTCTATTTTACACATCTTTCATCACCTTTCAATAATCGGTCAATTGGTCAATGATGACTAAAACATGTACACTACTGCCTAGAAGTTCATTCCCCTTACACGCATGGGCAACGCGTTACGCAACCAGTGCGCATCGGGTTGGTCACGCGTGTGAGACCCGTGTGCAACGCGTTGCACACGGGTGTGCACCCCGTCCGCCACTCGTGTGCAACGCGTGACACACTCATTAGAGGGGGAACAAACTTTTGACCAAAGGAGGACCCGTCTTAAGCTGAACCTGGAGGTGGTAACAAGGAGAGAAAATTTTGTTATCCTGACGAAAAATGATAATACACATGTATTTCCTCATGTCTCCTTTCTTTATGTGATTTTGTGGGAATAACATGAATACTGTTGCGATTAAATAGATCTGTTTTGTTTTATACGACCATTGCTTCTAAATCCGATGGTGTTAAGAGAATACATGGTCCTGGAACATGTTATTGCAATTGAAATGCTTTTATTGTGATTTGACATTAACCGTCTGTAGTACGACTTTCAGTGATAATATGTATGAGGTTTGGCGGCGCATTGTTTTTATTGGACCCTAATTACTTTATGATGACTTGGACTCTTTATCACAGCTCCATAGCCATGAGGCTGGAAAAGAGCAGCATGTAATTAATGAGGGTGGGTTATATCATTGAGGATACACTTGAGGGAGAGAATACTAATTACCGTACTACAGGAAGAGACCTGTAGACGTAAGCGCGGGGTTGTGTTTTAGCTGGCCGTTTGATAATGGCCGCCAGGAGAAGTGAGCTTTGCCTGCATCATCTAAAATAAATAATAAGATACAGCAGTGTTATTTTCACGGTCTGTTGAATAAACTCCCAGCGCAACGGTCAATGTATCTTCTACTTGATCCTTGATACATCATTTTGTCTTTCACAATATATAGTATTTCAACGTACAAAGGACACTGATCTAAAGCAATTCCGCGGGAGTAGTTGTTACCTGTGCATTACTGTATTTTCCCAGTGAGTACCCGGATGATATAGCAGAAATCTAGACTTGTTCGCGACCTGTGCTCGCCATTCGTAAGCGCATTTTAATTGAAAGTAGAAGGACGTATGGTCACACTGATCAACAAAAATGAAATACAGTTTTTGAAATGTAGGTATATTTGTGGGGAGCATCGGTAATGGTGATGCAGTTTTGATAAGTCACTTGCTTGGTAATTGTGCGATCTTCGTGTACACTATTTTGACTTGCAACACAGAGTAAATATTTCACTGAACATTGCTTATTTTACCGTGTGTATATGTTTACATTCAAAATGTAAACAGATTTCACTAAGGAAATGTATTAAAACGCCTAAATATTCAGTTTATTTTACAAATTAACTGAAAAATATGTCCATCTTTATTAATATGATAATGAATTCCAAATATTTGTTTATGTTTAATACCATCACCAAGTACAGTTCTGTATTGTTTGGCTTCTTTTCTTAGCATAATTAATATATTGTGATGTGTTTAAGCTCTCTTGGTCGTCTTTATCATTTTTAGTCAGTCGGTTAAATAAATAAATGGATTATTCAGTCAATTTGTAAAATGAGTGAAATATTTAGATATTTAATAAATTGCCTGAGTGAATCATATTTTACACATTGACTGTAACATATACACGCTTACAAAAGAAAATACTTGTGAAAACACCGTCTATCGCGCATCGAAAAACTTCCCAACCAAACGGAAGGGAACAAGAATGATTCTGTTCAAAGCTGCAGCTAATGAATGAAAACAAAATGCA